ATACCTCTCTAACCACAACCCATTATTATTTCATGGCCTTTGAAAGAAGGGTCTCTAGCAGGCGCTCTCACACTTTAATGTCGGAGCTCCCTCTGATGTTGTGTAGTACACAGCGGCCCTTGTTGCACTCCGTATGCGATCCCTCACTTGAATTCACAAACACTTCCAAGTGCATAAATAGCACAGAAGACGAGTGCCTTGCGAGCTAGCTAATGCTCTGGAACGCCATTGCTGAGGAGATAACAGGAGCCTGCCATGGCTGATGCCTGGGACTGTCATTGGGGGGAAGAGAAAGAGAAGTGTGTCTGTGTGCCTTTATGAAAAATGCTGTTGTTTTCTGACCCCTCATGGGACATCATATGGTAAGGAAAAAGAACATGCATCAGCGTTACGATTAAATGACCAGCGGACATGATTCAAAGGGTCCCACGATGTCCCTGAGCACCCTTTGGAACGTGTAGAAGGCTCTCGGCATACAGACGAGCTAATGGGCAACCTATTGGTCATGGTAGATTCAGCTTGAATCTCAATGAGGGTGTCAGTGTGCGGCTGCTCCATGACCGACAAGGTGTGGTGGGCCTGCTGGAGTTGATTTAGCCACATGGCCTGTCATAGCATTTTACCAGTCAACATCCATCAATCGAAAAGGCTAAAAGGCCTGTTGTTTTTTTTTCCTTTGAAGTGTCAAGAGGAAACTGCTGTCTTGAAGATGGATGGAAAATGGAAGACGTCTGATGAAATTTCACATCTTTGTTTTCTCTACATGATGCAGAACCCTGATGGTAATAAGGCAGATATTTTTTACATGAGCATGACAACAGACTTAATAATGTGGTTTGTGCCAAAACCACTTTTGCAGTGTGTAGCTCAGAAATGAAGCCTAGCTGGGTAAGTCACTTCTTACAAAAGCCTTTCAAAAGGTACACAGCAGTACTTCCCTGTATACTGGGACATGCTTGTGTTACATGAAAGCAGTGGGCTTGAATCATACAAAGGCTAAACCCATTACAGGTCCAGAGGGGTGGGCAATACAGTGCCTTGTCCCGCTCTTCTAAACAAGACTCTAGGTGCTGGAAGCTGGAACAAAGCCTTGTAACATATACATTAAACTTTAATTGTTTTTTTCCAGCCCCTTCCTTCACATCTCTGAAGTAGCAGCTCCTGAAACGTTAAAAGTGTAATGCCAGCTAGATTTTCATGGCTGTGCCTTTGTAGAATAAAAGATATATGTGTAACAGTGGAAGGAAAAAAAATATACTCTCTGATGCTGGAGGTAGACAGTTGTTTTTCAAATTCCAAGTTTTGGTCCTTTATTTTATTCAGCAGTGAAATGCCATGAATACAGAAAATAATAACGTTTGTTACAATTCTCAACCATGACCTTCTAATGTCAGAGAACCTTTAACGTATGGACACAGTACACAGTAATGAAAAGTATAAAAAAAAAGTAGTTGAATCTCGATCAAAAGGAAATGAAACCAAAAAAAAAAGTTTTCACCAATTACATAAACATATGTTTGCTACAGTCCCAATTTACTGTATACATAGGGGGATCATATTCCCAATTATTAGAGAAGGATAGCAGTAGAAAGGATACATGACTCAACTGCCAGACATAATGCTTCATAAAGTATGCACAGAGGTACAAGCAATAAATACACACATTAGGTTAAGCCTTACAGCTACGCAAAGCAGATGCAGAAAAAGCAGGTTTGCTATTCTTAGCGAGCAATGAGAGAGAAACAGTAAAAATTCAGGTAAGTCAGAAAAGAAACACTGAGATTTTTTTTTCCTCTTAGAAAAAAGTCTGGTAAATTTATGGGTCCACCAACATTTTTTTTACATAAGTATGCACAGTTATCAAAATACAGACAAAATCAACCCAGAAAATCCAGACAATCCTAAAATCTAGTGGAGGAGCAGATCGCAGTTCTGGAGGTCTTTCTGGTATTATGTGCAAGCAACTATTTTAGACATTTTTTTACTTAATTTATACAAAACCCATGCAAATCTACAGGTAATATGCATTCTGTGGCTGACAGGTTTTATCCTTCCCAAAACAGTATATCTGAGGTAATGTACGTACATTTAGGCCATCGTCCCGATGATTTTTATTATATTCTTTTTATTAGTTCTTGTTTCCAGTCCACCAAATGATTTTTAGACATGCATTTTTTAAACACAATATTCCCTTACAGGTAATCTATACATTATCATTCTACAAATGTTTGAGGACAACCTATTACAATGCAAATCTTCCATATCTTGACGCAGGGAATGTAAACGTTGGTTTGAGCCACGTCCTATGAGACAAGCGTAGTAAAGTGTAACAGCTCTTGTGGCATTCTAATAACTCGTGCAATCTGTCATAATTGTTCTGAATTTGTTGTGCAGAGGTAGAAGCTTTTAGAAAGCCTTTTTGGGTAAGTGGGAGAACCCTTTTTTTTTTTTTTTTTTTTTTTTTTTTTGAAAGACGCAGCGTCCTTTTTATTTGGTGTGATAAGATTATTAAGAACGTCGTCTTCAAGTCGTTTTGCTGACTCCAGCTAAGTATTGAAGGGATAAGCTTTGTTCCTGGGCCCAGTACCCTCTTGACGTGGAACTGGCGTGTGTGTGTGTGTGTCTGTGTGTGTGTGTGTCTGTGTGTGTGTCTGTGTGTGTGTGTGTGTGTGTGTGTACTTTACATGCTGTGTGTTTGTACAGTACTGCACGTGACTGCGTGTTAAGCTCTTACAGCCAATTTCTTGGCTTGGCACAACACTTGAAAACAACATATGCACAGTGTGTTTCCATTTTGGTCAAAGCAGGCAGGCGCGTTGTTCATTACAGCACAATACAAAGCCACTCGTCGGTTCTTTGACAGCATACATTTTCTGCAGCTGGAGATTTAACCGAAACAAGAAAGTTGGCAGACCAAAAGCTCGGGGTCTGTGTGTCTGTGTGTGTTCACGCGCATGTATGTTAGTCTCTGACAGGTTGTGTGTGGTTGTTTTAGCGTTTCTTTATCCCATACAAGAGGAGGCAGAATTTTGTGTAACTTTGGTTTACTGAAAACAGAAATGACCATTAAAGCAACAACACTTTTCTAGATGACATTGGCTGTGAGGGAAATGATGGGACGCAGTCTCCACAATAACTACTTCTCTTTAGTCTCTATAAATACCAAGTGTGTTATAAAAAGCTGGCTACCTATACAGAGTACATCAGTGCTAACACCAGTTGTATCTATATAGTTTAGAAGCTATGAACCACACAATGAGTATTTGATGTTTGATGAAGTTAAAGCAAATATCACCTAGAAAAGGTTACCTTTCACCTTAGATATCCTCTTCTGCAATGGCTATTATTATTTGCTTTTACATGGTAACCAAGCCACATCATTTCATATCAACTTGAAATTATGACTTATTTGGCTTCACTAGATATTCTTAATGTTTGGTTAGCGATGTTTTCAGTTTCGGTTTCGACGCGGCTCGGGAACAAAACCGCCACGGAAATAAGACGTGACATTATTTTGACAGTCCCACTTAGAACATTACATATTCACCAGGTTAGAAAAAAACAAAAACAAAACAAAAAAACAAAAAAAAAACAAAGAGCAATGACTTTTGATGTGAAATATAGAACAAAAAGTAAAAAATTATATAAACTTCACAACAACACAATGTTTCTGCACTTCCATTGAATACACAAATGTTTTTGTTTTGGTCATGATCCACTTTTACAGTTAGCTGCTCTCTACCAGTCAAATCACCAGCACAAAATGCCTGCAGTTCAAATGTCACATCACCTTTTACCTACAGCACGTCTGGCAGAAATTCTCCAAAGTGGACGTTCTATGAGTTATCAAATTACACATCAAAATCAACATTTCTTTCCCATCTCTCTTTCTCGTGATCATCTTTGTATAGGGCAAAATGAAACAATCCCAGAGGTTATTCGAAGGTAGTTTGCGGAACAAAAGCTTCTCTTTGTACTAGTTTAAAGTCACAGAAGGCGGACCAAGAGGAGTTTGGTGGCTTCTGTCTATAAGCTATTGGCCATTGCTAGTGTTGGCTTTGGTTTCTAGCTGTTGCCTGTGACTGTTTGCAGGTAGACAAAGCTTTAGAACGAGGAGGTAAGGAGAACAGCAAGAAGAAAATTATGCAGAAATGCATTTGTTTTGTAAATGGTGCTTTACACAAACTATTGTTTTTTTCCCCAACTTAATTTCCAGTTTTTTTTTTTACTTTTAATCACAAACAGATAATAGACTGGAAGCCAACTTTTTTTTCTTTTTTTTTTTTTCCTTTTTTTTTGGACAGCTGCAACAACAGTCTTGGTACCGCAGTTCCGTTACTGGTGTAATTCAGGGAATGGCATTTACAGTTGGTGGTGTCTAAAATCATATTTGGAAATTAATGATGGTTAAAAAAAAAAAGAAAAAAAAAAAGCTGAAAATAATATACTGGTTTTTATAATAGTAGCAACATACAGGCAGTGACACAAATTTCTGAGACTACTCCTGTGCAAATGATAACAGAGCAACAACTTGAATTGAACCAGCAATTGTTTCTAGACATTAACAACTACTGTGGGTTGGATTATTCACAAACATAAAATGTCTTCCTTTTTGGCAGTATATGAGGCCGCTAGCTTTCAACGGAACATGATTTGCTCATTTGTTTCATGTTTTTTTCCCCATCCATGAGTCCATCATCCTTGTACTGTATGTGGCCACGCCATCTCTAATGAAATAGGTCTCAAAGAGTTAATTTTTTAATCAGACATCTCATGCCTGTCATGTTTGGGGATCCCAAAGGGCTGCAGCAAAGAGTTCCTTTGGACCGGTCTCCATCCGGATGCATGCTCAATAAATAGTCCCAGTGGTGAGAGAGACAAAGAGAGAGTCAGCTGTGGTTGCTTGGACTGTGGAGTGGTTTCTAGTCTTGCAGGAGGTCTGTGTGAGAGAAACAGTGCGGCTGGGTGAAGGGATACGTCGACCAAAAACTGTATCCTAGTCACTCGAGGTCTTCTGATAAGTTCCCTTCCTCCAGCTCCCGGTCCTCCTCCAGCTCTGGACTGTGATTGGCTGTCGTCACCAGTGACATCGGACAGTCGTCATCATCCATATTGAGTGGCTCCTCCTTCACGTGAACGGGTGGCCTACAACACAAGCATATTGGTGATAAATTTTAGGGTTTTATACGTTTTATGATAAATTTCTGCAGCCAATAGCACTTGTTTGATCAAAAACTCACCACTTAAGTTTGTCATGTGAAAAATTTAAAGTAACTGGAAAACACCTAGAGTATAAAGACAGAAAGTAAAATGTAGTAATGCAAATTATTGCCACTATAAAGTGATAGATAAAACAGGAAGACGGTTTTTGTTCATAAATTCCCTTTACTGCACATGGAATACACAATGCGGTGTTCAGCTCACTGATAAATATTTTGTTGTATCAAAAACAAGCATATAACAGCCATTACATGCATTATCTAGTGAACGTAACAACCATGTTGTTTGTGAGACGCTAATTTGACATGATGCCTCACGTCTACTGTAAGTAAGTGCATGAAAATTGCATGAAAAACATGGCCCCTGTAAGGCCGATAAGCTGTGATGTTCCAGACATGTTTGGCATTTAAAAGTTTACTGATGACACCAGGTTGAAATACATGAAAAAGGAAAAAGGGAAAAAAAAACAGGCCACATGATAAATAATGGAGAATTTCTCATCCCTGAGCCCCCTGGAGCAAAGGCAGAGGAGAGGCTTTTTTATCTAGTTAATAGAAAGCGCAGCCACTCGTTAATATGCAGGGGCTGTGCATGTCGCTCCTCAAGAGGAAAAACCGGCAGCTAGGTTCTGCCATTAATCAACTTCAGCCCCGGCAGTTCGCTCGGACACCATGATACATGTTTTTAACTCTAAATGGATGAATATCTTTAGCCACTGTCAATAAGCGCTGGGCAGGAAGCAGCAGCAGCAGGGCTGTGAGCAGGACACCTCTCCCTTCAGAACACAGGAGCCCAACAAAAAAGTGTTGGGCGACTAACAAGAATAATAATGCTGTCACACACAAACAAGGCAGAACATGATCGGGGGCCCTAGTCGGGGAGAGGGTTTTGTGCCACGATGATAAATCTGACAAAACCTAATTATTCCTGACACATCGGATGCATCAGAAAATCCCCCTAGACTTTAAAGAGGAGGATGGGGAGGGAGAGGGAGACTTATCAAGTAGTAGTACGTTAGGAGGTGTCTCATAGCCTCTCTCCTGGGCTGCCTTCATCAGTGGAAGGGGGGAGGGCGGGGGGCTTTGAATTTGAAAAGAATTTTAAAAGGTACAGATGACTTTAATATTCAGAGCCAAATATTGTAAATTAATATTCTGATGTGGTATGATAAAGAGAGAAGGCTGATCTTAGCAGGATGCAAGCGAAGCAATGAATATTTCTGTTTCTGCCCCTCAAATTTATCGAGGCAGCAGGAGGCAAAAGAAAACCAAATCATCCAGAGGTAACTCTGCTCCCTGACCTGCACAGTCTACTGGAAAGACTTTTTATATAAGAGTAAATTCAATTCTGTTGTTGTTTTATGAACTACAGTTTGATTCTTTAATGTTAGCTAATGTTCCTCACAGGTGCTGAGAGGCCTGAGATCCACTCTGAGATTCTTTTAGAGAATCCAACTAGTGCTGAAATGATTGGTTGGTAAATTGAATAGCTGATTAAGTAAAATTTATAAACAGCAGCTTTATAGCTAATCATTAATTAAGCAAGTCTGCCAAACATTCTGTTTCCAGCATCTCAAACCTGCTACTTTTTAATCACTGTAAATGTTAATTTTTTTTTTTTCTTTTAGATTTTGGACAAAATGAAACCTCCCTTTGGCCTCAGTTAAAACAAAACAAATACCCCAGGTATGTGTTTTTTTTAATGACATTTTTTAGCCCCCCCACCCCCCACCCCCTAAAAAAGAGGACAAATTAATCCATAATGAAAATAATTATATTATTATAATTACAATTATATGTTCATGTCTTTGCTACTTTCAAATACATACAAATATGGTTCATGACAAACTAGGATGTAGCTGGTCGCAGCTCTGAGGACATGTTTAAGCACTTATTATACTGCCAACAATTATAAGTTCTGTGACAACTAATTTTTGATGATGATTAAACCTAACAGGAGGGGTTATGAGGGTTGACAACTGCATTAATAAAAAGCAGTATATTATAGTGTGCTGTAAACCATGTATTGGATGTTTATATACAGCTGATGAACAGGGGGACGTAAAGTGTTACCAGGTTCATTTCATGTTTTAGTGGCTGCCCATCCACATTTCCTACCAGAGCAGATACATTATCATTAAATCCTAGGACCTTTCTAAATAAATAAATGAAAACAAGCAAAGAAAACACTAAACCAAACCCTCAGTTTGTCTGAAAAACAGGCTCATCAACACCAATGTCTGCCTCATTTGGGGAAATATAACTGAAACTTATTAGATAGTGTTGTCACGTCTGGGTTTTCCATAAAAATACAAATCGTCTTTTAGTCACCATGACTTAAAAATGATAATCAGTGAAGCATCACATCGATCAACTGACAGACCTGAATGTGAGCTGTATCACAAACCAAAGGTCTCCCGTGTTCTCGTGTGCTTTTAATATGCAGCTCATTAGGTGTTTGTGTGGCTTTGAAGAAAAATATGCAGGACCATATTCACAGGCCTGAGCTTTCTGACACTTTATTAAAATATGTGGATGAGCCATTTAGTGCTTAATGGCTAGCTGCCATTACTGAGTCACTCAGGAGTAAACGCTGGACTTTGTGGTGTGATAAATACATGATGCTCTGTGCGTGTGTGTGTGTGTGTGTGTGTGTGTGTGTGTGCTCTCAAGATGCCTACTCTCACATCAATTGGAGATTAGCACCAGCAATCATGCGGAGGTATGCCAGGGATGCAAATAAGGTCATTAGTCCACGGGCCTAATGGTAGGTTGGGGATGGGGACAGGAGAGGTGGTGTGGCGAGGAAGGGAGAGGCAACGGAGCAGGGGGGAGAGGCAAAGACAGGGGTGAGGACTGGCGGGGTGGGGGCAATCAAAGAAACTATGATTCATTAACGAACACCAAAGAGGGGTGGTCACCAAACAATTACATGTGAAAGTAAAAGACACCGCTGATAAAAAAAAAAAAAAGTGACATGAAATAGGTTGTATTTGCTTTTATCATGAATTTGGTCACTTGGATAAATATTCTGAGGTAAAGTTGGAAACCCTAATTCTACAGTTGCAGATGTTTCTGGTATACAGTACTACTTCCTTTAAGCATACCCCTTAGGGTGTACATGAGTTTATTGCACATGCACACATACACATGCGCAAACACACACACACACACACACACACACACACACACACACACACGCACGAACACACACACACACACGCACACACACACACACACACACACACACACACAGACTCAGCATGGCCCCGGGCGATGTGGTTTGCGGTTAAGCAGATAGCATTAACCTTTAGACTTTGAGGGGAAAGAGAGGTTTGTCTAATTGTTGGGCTGCCTTGGTTGTGCTGAGGAGTTGCTCTCCTGAGAAAGGCCTTCAAGGTGATGTACACTTTAGTTTAGTGCTACAAGCCACTCCATTATTTAAACACATCCTGGAAAAGCCAGTCATGAAAAACACATTTCTTCCATTTTGAGGTTGTCGTGGCTGTGTAAAGGCAGGCGGGGATGGGAGGAGGGAGGGAGAGAGGGATGGATGGATGCATCTCATCCTCCGTAGTCACTCATGTCAGTGTCAAGGCAGTGTGGCCAGAGAGAAGAGAAAGCAAGCAAGAAGGAGAAAGTCAATGCTGTCCAGTTACTAAAAGTTAAATGACCTGAGGGAGTGGTAATACTGGGATTCTGTCTGGAGCGGGGCAGATTTGCTCTACTTAACACCCCATTTCAGAGAGGGGTAAATACGTCCAAACAGATTAACATATAGACGTCTGGTAGGGCAAACCAAACACTCCTCTGTTCTCTCAGACACACTCAGGGAGAGAGGTATGGAGCTGGAGTGCATCCTTTATCCATTACAGGAGTGGTTAGCTAATGTCGGCTGACTTTGCAACATGAGCTTTGATGGACAGTGGATAAGTATCATTAAAGTGTAATGTCTGTGTGTTTGTCTCTGAATGTGTCGTGTGTGTGTGTGTGTGTGTGTGCGTGTGCGTGTTTGCTTGCATGCGGCCATCACTACAGTGAGGGCTCACGCAGAACCTGTGTGACATCACTGGCTCAGGTTGTTTCAGACATTCCTGAAACTCACATGAGATCAATTTTTAAAAACACTCACTTTCTCTCTCAGCTCCATTAAAACAGAGATGGGGAAGGGAGAGATTTTTAAAGTAATTAATGCTACACTTGCTAAATATTAATGGGAACAGTCTTGCATAAAATATAGCAGCTAAACCCCTATAATGCAGACACTGGTGTAATTAAAGACGAATGTGTAATAGAGCCTATTTATAGAACTAGAATTAACTGTTATCCAAAATGTCAGGTATAAGCACAGTGCCATTGAATTACCACAGCAGAGACAGGAAAAGAAAAGTCTGCTTATGATACAATACATGCTGGAAATTGAACCTTGCTCCCAGGTCATGGCAGAGTGAAGAAAATACTGGTACTGTGGGTTAAATATCAGGCAATTAAACTAACAAAGGGCATAAGGACAGCGAGTGAATTCAGTGTAGGAGGAGAGGTGGAGGTGTCCAACGTGTGCTTGTCAGATAAGTACTCATCACACATAAAAATGTGTGATGAGTGATTCAGTGTAGACCCATTGCATTTAACCTGTCTAGGCTTTAAAGAGGCTTCATATACTAAACTGCAAAGAGCGAGCAGAACCATTCAGGTGTGTGTAATTAAGGCAGTGTTTTTGTTTTTTAACGGATATCCTCCAAAAGTACATTTTTGGAGCAGATCGCTTAAAATGATTTTAAACCAGATGTTAAATAAGCCTGCTTTCAAAAGTTGTGTCTTACTGAGAGAAGACACCTTGCACCACATTTCACAATCAACATGAGGACTGAGTCCCTCAAAGAACTAATAAAAAATCTGTTTGATTTATTTAAAATCTCATTTTTACTTCATTTGTTGCATAACTAATAATAATAAATAAATAAGACAAATACATTAATTAAAAAAAACAAACAACTGCCTTAATTATCATGTATTTATGATACACATGCATGCTTGTGTGTAGCTGTGATGTATGCAGTACACACACGCGCATGCAGTGTGATCCAGCTGCAGGGGTATTTCTTCTGCCTGCAGGAACTTACATGTGTACTGGTGGGGAGTATCCGGGGCTGCTGTGTCCGTTGGTGTCCAGGTGGTCGAGCGAGCCGTTGAGCTCCTCATGGGCGGACTGCAACAGGGTGGGGGGGCTGCCGCTCAGCGTACCTGGGGGGCTGCCACCCAGCAGTCCTGGCGGGCTCCCGCCCAACAGTCCGGGTGGACTTCCGCCCGTCAATCCGGATGGGTCTCCGCCCAGGAGGCCGTGGCAGCCGCCTCCCATCGGACCCGTGGAGCTGCTGTTCATGAGGCCGGGGGTCCCCAGCAAAGGCAGGGAGGTCTCTGCCAGGGCAGCCTGCAGGAGAGGGAGACAGAGGATGAATACTGGGAGTTAGAGACTGAAGAAGATGGTTACAGGTGAGAGGCAAGAATAAGAGAGCATGACTACATGAAAAAGGACAAGAAGGTTTGTGCATGGAGGGAGGGGGGCTGGTAAAAGAGGCAGGTGAGAGAATGATATTCAAAATTTTAACATAGTAATTACTAAAACACATTCTCTCAGTCCCAAGTTTTCTGTTGCAGGCTATTTTTCCCCCGGTGACATGGTGCTGACAACTACCTCCCCCCAGCTGCCATTCATATGCCCTTGTGTAGAGTGGCTATTAAAAAAAGTCCCCCAAAAACTTTACCTCAAAATAATAAAAACTCCTGACACTTTCGCCTGCTGCGCATTAAAGTTATATACAGTGATTAAATTTTTAAAGTTTTTGCCATGAGCACCTCGCCGGCGTACACTATGAAGCCAAATCATTTATGACAGCTTAGATAAATATTAATGCACATGCCCTTGCATTTGCACATGCCGCTATCAATCTAGGGTGGCTGCCACAGCTGAAAGAAGGGAAGAAGAACAGAAAGAAAGAGGGAGAGTTGCTTCCTGAATCGACCACAGGGTGGCCTTCTGAGTCTGACGGTGCACAGGAAGGAGAGAGGGAGAGAGAAGGTGTGAGAGGAGAGATAAAGAAACTCGAGGAGAGAGAGTGAGGCAGGAAGTCTGAGTTAGGAACAAATAAACTTGCTTGTGTGAGGACTAATATGGAGTCCTACTGTGCACAGCAATCACTCTCACTCAGCCACTCAACTGTTCAATCAGTCAGACAGCCGCCCTGCCTGTCAGTCATGTAAACAGGCAGTTGATGAGTCAGATGTTCTGAGGCATTTAGTTCATACCTGTAAGCTGGCGTTTAGTGCAGTTCCATAACCAAGACTGGAGGGCAAGTTCTTGACAAGCGATGGGCTTCTGGATACATTGTAAAGACAAAAACAAACAAAAAAAAAGGACATGAAGTCACATTGTTACTTGCTGTGGACAGAAAATATATCAAATATTAGCAAGGGAAGAGCTAACTGTATAGCAGGGAGAATATAATGTCTATATAAACAAAGAGAGAAAAAGAACTGGGCAAAGAAAGAGACAGAGGGAGAAAAGCTTCAGAGAGGAGAAGAGAATTTGGCTCTTCTAGGTGTCATTGATCTCCAGCTCTAGATCTAAGGAGAGAGAGGTGACGGAGCTCGTACCCTGTGATCTTCTGCGACCTGCGTTTCTGGTACTCCACCTCATCTACCGTCCACACCGCCCCCTTCACGTTCTCCACGCGCACAAAGCACTTGTGCAGACTGAGGTTGTGGCGCACTGCGTTCTGCAGAGAGACATATGACACACAGGTCAGAGGGACGAGGTAAAATGAATCACATTCATTCATTATCCATCAAGAAAAAAAGGAGGCCAGGAAATTGATTTTTTTTTTTCTTGCATTTTGAAGAAATTCTTAACATTCACACACCATTGATTTAATTAGTAAAAATTGAGTGAGAGCGAATGCTCTTACAAGTCCTGCACACAGTACATATCAATCAGAGTAAGTAGGCTAAAAGGAGGTAATCAGCATAGCGAATGGCTTATGGTGGTGACAGAAGTGGTAATGCCGGCCTTGATAATGGTGATGTCAGTAACCCTTTCTGCTCAAGAAAAGCATTGCTCTTAATGGACACATCGCTTTAAAGATGACAGTATTGCAAGAAAAAAGACAGTCATCAGGAGGCCCTTGTGTCAGTGTGAGTGTGTTGAGGAGAGTGTGTGTGCGTGCATGAGTAAGGAGGATTACGCTGAACTGTATCTGACATCTATATGTCCAAATATTCTCAGCGTAGTGACGAATACGTGCTCACATGTCAAGTTATCATTTAAATTTATTATCAAAGCTGCATGTAAATGAAAACATCTTTCATACAATAAACCACTATGATGTTTTCATTAATTACAAAATAAGGAAAACTTATAGAAAAAAAGCCTCTTATATTAATATGACCATCTGACCATAATTAAAACATGCATCAGACTCCACAAATAATAACCTTGGCTTTAATATCCCTGCCTCTCATATTTATCATCTGCCTTTGCTTGGTGTGTACTGCTCTTTCTTCAAGAAAAAGGGATTCAGAAAAAAAGAAAAAAACTCATAAGCAGATCTCGCATCTGACCTGAAAATCCCAGGATTTGATTGATCTTAATGCCCATGGCTCTGAATATGATAATTTTAATATTAATGAGCAAATGAGCAGTTTTATTATGCATGCTATATAGTTAGAACTAATAAGCTTCTGGGTGAGGGAAAAAGAGAGAGAGAAAGTGGGGTGGTGGTGGGGGGGTAGATCCCTCTGTGGAGCTGATGAGACCAAGCTGAGATATTAAACTACCTTTCATTTATTTCTTTCTTCTTTTTAAAAAAAAAAAAAAAAAAAACATTCTCTGCGTTAATCAAATGACAAGCTCATCGCTGATCATCCCACTAATGCTTACAAAAGGAATCGTGGAGCTGTAGCTGTAAATAGATCACCTTGGTTATTGTGCAGGGTGGGAGACACTGAGACAAGATATTTCTAATGTCACTGTGATAACATTGCTATTGTATCACAGGAACAGAGGGACTTTTCTCAGGAAACCGAGAAAGGAAAGGGAACATTAAAAAAGGTACATATGCGTGTGGTTTGTAGTTTTGTGAGCAAATGCAACAACTGCTACAAAACCTCCGAGAACATAACATGTCATAACATTATTACACAGCAAAACACGGCGCGTACTGTACCTAACAAACTGGAAAAGGGCACCGATCTTTTCGCATGCCCTCCTGAATTGGTGATCACACGCCCATGTGCTCATTTGCATCCCAAATCCAAATTAATTCACTTTGCTAAATCTAGTGCTGCGCCATGTCTTGCATGCTGATGAGCGGCTGGTTGAGTTTTCCCTCCAGTCCTCTGTGCAGCCACAAAGGCTAAAGGCGGCTAACGAACGACGTGCAGGGGCCACGGTATAAAACGGCGAAAACACTGACGCTCAGCGAGGCGTTCTTTATCAGCAGGCAGACACACTTCTGGTTAAAACATGTGCTGCGGGAGAGACATTTTTTACCATCTTTGTGGAGGCAGACGGGACAATAAAGTTGTAGGGACAGATATACAAATGGGGCCTTTTGTGTGGGTAAATAAAGAGTGCTCCCTCCATGACAGGCCAATTCTCGCTTTCCTGCCTGCTTTAGTTCCACATGAACACACCCTTAACCTCTCTCTTAGACACAGCTCATGTGTTTGTGTGTATGTGTGTGTGTGTGTGTGTGTGTACATGTGAGCTCCAGTGTGCATGCATCTTTGGCCGACCCCGTTCACATGGCTGAGAGCTGGTTAACAGGCAAACAGCCATCTTTCTTCCTAATTAACCAATGATATGCGAGGGAGAGGTGGTTTCGGGAGTAGGAGGAGGGGTGTCTCTCTTAACAAAAGGTGCTGATGATGGAGTGGCTGCTGTATAATTAGTGCGTCAGAGCCCTCTCCTCTCCACGCCAAGCCTCCGCTATTAATTGCACCAAATTAGAAAACGATATCTGAGGCAGAATAATTCTTTCAGCTGTCATTTCCAAACAGAAAAGGTGGAATGGTGGAAAAAATAAATAAGAGACAGAATGGGCTCTGTTCAAGAGAAAGGTTAGGAAGAATGGAAGAGGAGCTCTAATCGCTCGCTGCTGAGGAAATATATGCTTTCTTGAGGTTTCCTTTTTGACATCAGTGAGAGGAATGTGTAGTCTTTACTGTACATGGAGAGAAAGGGTGTAGCAGGTGGAGGTTGCGTAAGGAGATGAGGGTTCATCAAAGTTACCTTCCAAGTTGCAGCATTGCGTCTGAAGTAGGCGAATGTGCGTGTGAACCAGCTGTAGATTTCATTAAGCGTTAACTGCATGTCGGCAGAGTCCATGATAGCCTGAAATGAGATGACATCAAATAATGGTTTACTAACGAGACCACGTAACTGACACACACACACACACACACACACACACACACACACACACACACACACACACACACACACACACCACATCACAACCCAATGGATTAGAGAGAGGGGAGAGAGAGCTGCAATGATTCATGCAGCAATTAATTTTAATCTAATCAGGCAAAGTTAATTTATTTCCCCACTCACCTGTCTTATGAGGGTTGCATAAGTAAATGGCGGTCTGACATCTGCGTTCTTATAAAACTCGTAGTTTGGGGCAATCTCTGGAAAAATAAATACTGTGTCACCACCTGAAATAATTGGTAAATTTTATTCCTTTAGGTATTGAATTTACTCAAGGTTTCATCAAAATTAACAGGGGGGGAGACAAATGGGAGGGGGGGGGGGGGGGGAGAGAAAAGAGGGTGGGGGTGGGGTTAAAGGGGGCACATCAAATCAGCATTTTCCATGTCTAACAAAATGCATTTTTAATTAATCTCTCTCGTGAGAGATCTTAAACACTAATACATCCATAAAATGAGATCCGTGTAGTTAGTTAGGGTGAAGTTGAATAATTTATGTGTCTTCACACTAAACACAGAGAGAGTAAATATAAACATCAAAGACAGACCGTTTAAAATGCAAAGCTTAATACATGGAATGTCTTAATGTAATAAATATTGTATTTTTTCTCCATTATTTGAACTTAATTAACATTCATGTAATATTTATGCACAAAGGAAGTTCTTGTCTATTTACATATAGAGTGATTAAACACAGGCTTGCTTTTATAAACCCACCAGACATTTCACACTGCTAAGACCAACACGTCTCTGTCGTGGTGTGTGTGTTTATGTCAGAGTGCATGTGTGTCTGTGTGTGCACTTTCACATCTGTGTGTGTGTTATAAAACGTACAACCATTATGGGTTGAGGACTATTAATAGTGCAGTGCTCAGGGTTGAGGTATCACATGCAATTTGCAATTTCAACATTATTTTTTCATTGAATTTAAACAAGAATTTGGTTTAAATGAAGAAAAAAGTCTGAAGTTCACTTTAATCTTAGTCAAATCACTGGCATAACTCAGGAGCAAAATGTGAAGTAAATTAACATTTAATACACCAACCTCTAAATGAATATACAGTGTGTGTATAAGTGTATATGTGTGTGCGTGTGTGTGCGTGTGTGTGTGTGTGTGTGTGTGTGTGTGTGTGTGTGTGTGTAAGGTCAGGCTCAATTCACATTCAATTCAAGCAATTTAGCTTTCCTCACAATCCAAATATGAAACACTTGATGTTATCTTTTTCTACATATTCACCTGATTCAGCTTTTGCGTGAAAGTGAATTGTCTGCACTGACTGAACACACCTGTGTATCTGTGTTATGTGCAGCGCTGAGTAGTTGGTCCTACCTGACGACAGAGGCATGGAGTATTTGTCCGAGTGGCGTCTGCGCATGGCTCCCATGCTGGGGACGTTTGCTCCTCCCAGTACTGATGGCACCTGGGGCATGGCGGCCATGGGCGTGATCGGTGCTGTGGGCGTGGTGGGTGTCTGAGGTAAGTTGGGGGGTGATGCTGAGGGCAAATTCTTGGACATGGTGACGCTGGACACCAGGTTGAGCTGGGGTGGAGGAAGACAGAGTGTGGGTGAAGAGTGGGAGGAAGACACAAGTAGCAGGGAGAGGGGGGGAGGGAGG